CCCCATCATCACCACCACTACCACCATCATCCTCCCCACCCCCCACCTCCTGGCACCAGCACCACAGCTACAACAGTTCAAGGCCTTGAAGAACTCTCATTGGAGGATCCTTGCCTCTTCACCAAGCTCTGATTCTAACCCACCTTTTCTCCGCCTGACTTGCTTCTCTCACCTGCGCACTCTCTGACTACCTTCCTGTCTTTCAGTCTCCCAGCTCTGTCTATAGATTAAGGAAGGAATTTGCAAGTATACTTCTGTAATCTTGCTTTTCTCTGACTTAAGGGATTACTAATCTTCTATCATTTGCTTTATAAATAACAAGAGATGATAATTAGTTTGACTCGTTAAGTGTAAAGCAGTTATTATTTTGCAGCATTTGATTAAGTTTCTTTAATTATGCACCGTTGTATATGCTACTGCTCCAAAGATCAGGAGAGTTTCTGTGAAACATTCTTCTCTCCACTTAATGCCTTTTCTTCTTCCTATTTGCCCCTGTGCCTGCCAGTGCACACCCCAGGGGCAGGTTAGCGTGTTTTCCAAGGACTTTAAGCGTCCCACGATTGAAAAGGTTGTCTTCTCTGTGGTCAGGGTGTTCAAGGCCAACCCTGATACAAACTGTATTCTTCCCTTTATCCACCCTTCATTTATTCACTCCAAACCAAACCTGCTTCAGGAAGGGATCAGATAAACTTGTTTGGGGTAAGGTAGAAATGACAGAGTAGCAGTGGAGCAAACCAAACAAATGAAACTTTAAATGTGGAATTCCAGCTGGATAAAGAAGTAGGATGGTGTTGGGAGGGCAAGAGTCACCTCTTCCAAACCCTCTCAAAGGCCACTTAGTAGTAATTTATGTACCTTGTACTTTTAAGCCCTTCTTCCCTTCACTGTCCTCCACCTGCCCTTTTCTCAAGACCCAACTCAAAGGAGTCTCTTTCAGGAAGCACTCCAGATTCCCTGTGCTCCCTTCTGCAGTGCCCTAGCCACATGATGTCAGCATTCTCTGCTTAGAATAGACCCCTGCCCAGCACTGAGTGTGGAGCCTGCATAAAATTCTCTCTTTCTCTCTCTCTCTCTCCCGCTCTCTCTCTCTCTCTCCCCCTCTGCCCCTCTCCCCCACTCATCCATGCTCCCTTTCTCTCTCTCTAAAAAAAAAAAAAACTTATAGAATGGGGCCCTTCCCTCTTCTCCCCCTTGTGTTCTGAACCATTAGCTTCTCAGCAGCAGGAAAGGCCAGTCACAGCCCTAATTGTCTCCCCTGCATCTAACACCATGGCATTCAGGAAATGCTTTTGGACTGAAGTGAATTGTATTTCTGCTGTATGAAGAGGAGAATATTTTTTAACCATGGAGAACATGATAACTTTCTTCAGATCGGTGAGAGATTGTTCCCTCTCTTCCCCTTGAATGTACTTGTTTCCCAGACCGCAACTCTGGAGACATACCAGTAGGTAGGATAATGTTTTTTGTTTTTTTGTTTTTTTTTTTTTAAAGAAGAAAACACTATGATGATTCCAGCCAAGGGGTGTAATTAGCTACATATCCCCTTGGCTGAAAGCCTCGTCCATGGGAAATGCAGTTTGTTTGCAGCGATTGTTCGAATGTGAACAGGCTGCATATGGATCAGTGCTACAGGGAAGAGAGTCAGTCCCTCCTGGCCAGCTGCGCCTTCTGGGTCAAACTTGAGCTCAGCAGAGGGGGCAGCTCCCCCAGCTCCAGCACCTTTCTCTCTAATAAGGCTGCAGAGACCAGAGCAGGCTGAAGGATGGGTAGGATCTGAGGAAAATGATGAGCAGCCTTTGCTGGCTTACTTTTGAGTCTATAATTTTTAAATTCACTCACCTGTCCTTTATTCCACTCTTCTGTATTACATGGATATCCTTTTGGCATGTGTACTGTGGAAAGAAACTGATTTTTGTCTTTCGTTTTTTGGGACTATAAAAAATTATAACAACCCAGCCTTTATTCCAGAATTCTCATTTTAGTTCTTTCTGAATGGAAAGTAGCTTCCCTATGTTTCATTGTCCTGTTTTGCTTTTGTGAGGGAAACATTCAGTGTTTTCTAATACTGGGCTTGTAGACATTAGGGTTTAGGAAGTGTGTCCACCTCTTGGCTCCCAGGTAGCCCCTCCTCTACGGATTGACATTGCTGTCCCTTCTACATGATGTCTTCTTTATGACATTGTTTTGGTGATTGAACTCTTATCCTGAGTCCCTTGATCTTTAAAAAAGGTAGCCTAGTAATAATATCTACCATCCTTGTCTTTCTCCAGGGGACATTGTAAGGATAATTAGGGGACATATGTGTGAAATGTTTTGAGCCCAGTGGAAGGGAGAAACTATCAGACACAAAGGTATTGCTGTTATTCAGTTTCATACTGTTACCATATGATCAAGGATACATTAATTTTGGAAATGGTGATAATTTCATGTTTGGACTTCTATTCCTCCCTAATCAGCGTAATTGGCTTTGCCCTGAACCCTATACGTACCTCATTTTATAGATTAAAAACAAATAAGGGGCAATGATCAGAAATGTTTTTACTATGTTTTTCACTGGCTATTTTTTTTATTCTAAAAATAAGTTAGTCTTTTAAAGGTAGTTGATTAAAAAGCTTCATTTTCTGGGAATGTTATGCATTTGCAATATATAATAAATAATACTGTAGCAGTTGGCTGCCTCCACTTTCATACAAAATAAATAAATACATTTGGTGACATACATTTGAGGAATGTGATTCTTACAATTTTCACAGAAATAAGGAATAACTTTACAGATGATAGAGATTTTACCATCTGCTAGTAACAACAACAATAACAAAACATAGCTCATGATACGAAGCTCTTACTGAGTCTAATGTATTTATTGGCATGCCAGGAATAAGAATTCTCTACAACTTTAGTCGACCATCCCCAGGGAAGATGACCTGACTTTCAGCATGTCAGGGGAAAGGTTCCTTTGCTTCTAAAGCAAATGACATGGGCTTTACATCGTTTGAATGGCAGAGGAGGGAAGAGGGATAAGTTTTAATGGTGAGAAATCAAGAGAAAAGCACTCTCCAGAATTGTAAGTACCTACAGAGATTTCACTGGTAATTAGTGGAATGGTGGACTTACTGTCAAGAAGATACTGTCTTTATGAGTTAAACATTTAGTGTTGACCAAAGAGATAAAATTTCAGACACTTAGAGAAAGATGGGGCATGTAAGTCCAGACTTTCTCTACAATGACATTTGCATTAAGCAGGTGACATTTTCCTAGGCCTGACATGACAGGTAAGGGTTGTGGTTCTAGTTAAGGATGAGGAACCAGGAGGGTCACCATTAGGAAGGGATAAATGTTCAGTGGAGGCTGGGGAAGAGAAACCAAAGGGAAAGCATTGAAGACGTATTAGCTCTCTTTTTGGGTTTCCTTTGCTCTCTTCCGGAGAAGGTGGGGATGATTGTCATTTTTGATCATTCTGGTTTCATCTGGTGGCATGGAGGATATTGCATGGCACAAGCATCATGGCTATCCTGTGAAAGATGGCCAGTGCATTTTTAAAAAACTGTTTATTTGTTTATTTTGAGAGTGAGGGGAAGGGCAGAGAGAGGGAGAGAGAGAAAGAGAGAGAGAATGAATCCCAAGCAGGCTCCATGTTATCAGCACAGAGCCTGATGTGAGGCTCAACCTCATGAACTATGAGAACATGCCCTAAGCTGAAATCAAGAGTCAGACAGAGACTCAACCAACTGAGTCACCCACACACTCCAATGGCCAGTGCATTTTTATTAGTAGACTATGTGTAGGTGGTCCTGAGGGTGTTCAGTCTTTCTTAGTAGTAGAAGCTATAGGCTGGGTATGCAGGTAGAACCTCATTAGAGAACTTTAGCCAGCACTGGTGTGCATGTTGGAGTGCTTTTGGTTATCTTTAAATGGATTGGGGAATGAAGCAGGTTTAAAGAGGAGCAGCTTGCCTCTCACCTCCCAACTTCTCCATATTTTTAAGTGATGTTTACTCCCTGACCCTGGAAAATACAGTAAGTCTGATATCTGCCTAATTGATTTTTGCTTTCAGCCTAATGCTAAACATCTAAGCCATGTTGCAAAGTAGGCAGTGTTTTATAAATTTGTTTTCATTGCTATATTCTACATCATCCCTCCTTTTTTTTTTTTTTGTCATGCCTCATATTTGGACCCTGATGTCCTGTGCCCTTTCCCATTGGCCTTTGGCAAAAATGCTGACAAACTCATACACATTCAGATACCAAGGGCTGATCAGGTTAAAGTGTTTCCCCTTCTTGTGGTGTCTACATTTTTTACAGGGGTGAAGACATCTTAAGCCAGAGGAATGACTCTCTAGTTGTGGAATTTCAGTCGTCAGCCAGCAGATGTAGGAGGTATTATTTTGGGTATGGGGGCCTCTCAGAAGTCCTGAAATCATCCTAAATGACCACCTGCCTGCTCCATGTTACATAAGGCCACTTCATGCATCATACCAGTCTTGTGTGTTTGGTTGGTTTGACCTTGCCTGAGGGCAGCAAGCATGTTTATGGAAGTCTCTGTGCATGGAGTCCTGCATAGTTGGTGCTTCGCAGATACCTGTGTGTGCTGGAGAGGGGAAGAAGTACGGTGCATGGTATGCAAGCTTATTTTTCTGATTGCCAAATGCTGGTTTGGGTCCTAAAGTTAGCAAGTTCATAGTAAAACTCGATTTGTCCCCTTGGTTAAAGCTCACTTCATGCCCATCTACAGCATGAGTCATGTGTTGTCAGAGCAGTCTCCATTTGAAATCCATGGAATGTTTGTGAAAGCTGCAGTCTCATATTGCGAATGTCCACAAGCAGGGCAGGGCAATCATAGCCTCTTCTTTGAACTTGAAGCCTGGTTCTGTGAATAAGAGTGTCATTTTCATCTTATGCCTTCCTTATGCCAGTCACTATCACTATAGCCATCCAGAGAGTTCTTAGTGATCGCAGTGTCAGAGCTGTGAGCCTCTCATTTGGTAAGGCTGTGGCTGCAGCCTCCATTTATGTGAAGGTCACTGATTGGACTCCCCAATCTAATAACTTTGGGTAACGTACGAAAGATGAATTAAAATGCTAATAGGTGATATGTTCTGGGTATTTTAACATTTCCTAATCTTAAATTTAAATAAAATTCCTTAGGTGTTCTCCCAGCCTTGCTGAAAGCATATTTAGCATTGCCCCTTAGCGAATTTAAAGTATATTCTATCCACCCGGGCAGAGCTAGAAGGATAAGCAATATGTATTTTATGATCATTTTATTTGTGTCCTCTATAGCTACATGACACAAATATTCTCTTATACTCAAGATAGCAATTCAGCTAAAACAAAACCAAACAAAACAGGATCTCACTCTTTCATATATTTCTATGAACCCACAGATCCTTTCATTATTAACAACATTTAAAAGCAGTACATTGGAGTTTGGGCACCTAAAGCTATTCCAAAGCCATTTTGTAGATTACCTTCACGTTTAAACCTTACAACGCCATGAAACATCCCTGTTTTATAATGAAGACACTGGGGTGCAGAGAGGTTGTGTGGCTTTCCCATCATCATGTCGCTGGTTATGGGAGAACCACAGTCAGTAGGTGGTTGTCCTTGCTCCCAGCTCAGGCATCTGTGCATTAGATCAAGTGGGAGCTCTAAGCAGAACAAGATCACTTAAAATGCTTCTGCTAGGAAATGAAGACAGTGCTCATTCTGAGGGACATGTCAGGTATGTTGTCTCCACTGAGCCAGATTTACTTTATGTACCAAGCTGAAAAAAACATGTGTATTTCCTTCCTTCAGTAAACGGGTCACTTCCTTATTATTAGTTGAATTAGCCCCTTTATTTCCTCCTTATGAGGGGGAAGGAACACTCCCTTCGTCCTCCCAGTTATCTGGTGTCTGGTCACTTCATAATTGTATTTTGGGAGAATAGATATTAATTTTCTTTAACAAAAAGGCTGAGATCCTTGATGACACACCATAATTCAATTTCCGTTCTCTCCCTTCGTTGCCTGCACCCCTTCCTCCTGGCACATTTTTCATAGTTAGGAGTGATAGTGTCAAATATATCAGAAGGAAGAATTGATTCAGTAGTAGTTTGACGACTTGACTGATTAGCAGAGATCAGAAGAAGGCTCATAACTGTGAAAACCACTGCAGCATGGAGTTTTAACAGCTCTTTAGGGAGCTAGTTAATGAAAGAATCACTACAGAAACACAGCCATGCAAAAAAAAAAAAAAAAAAAAAAAAAAAAAAAAAAAAAAAAAAAAGAAAAAAAAGAAAAGAAAAAAAAAGAAAAAGAAAGAAAGACAAGAACAGAAGCATTCCCATATAACACTCAGAGGCTATGTCTTAAGAGGAAATATGCTCATAATTTCTATTTACACATCACTGTAATTACTGTCCGCCTTAAGATTACTTTCAGTCTTCTCCTGTCAAAATTGCTTAGATATTTCCTGTTTTACATATCAGGCAGAGAGGTCTAGTACTGGTTGGAACTTGTCCTAAGGATTTTCTTTTGCTCCTAAAGAATGTAATTATCAGACACCCAAGCTCATACTGCTTGATTAGACTGGCTTTAATCTGATCCATGTTCTTATCATCACCATTTGTCCATGACCCAGACTTCTGCACTCAGGGGAATGTTTGACTGGGCTTTAGCCTTTAACTTTTTCCTATGTGGTTGTTCTCTTTTCTTTCTCCTGATGCAGCGTCTATGAACCAGATAGAAATGTGTTACGGAGGAAAGAACGAGAAAGAAGAAATCAGGAAACTCAGCAGGATGATGGCGCATTTAATTCGAGTTACTCCCTTTTCAGTGAACCCTACAAGGTAGATGGTTTTCTGTTGTTCATCTTCACCTTCACTTGTACCTCTACTTTCAGTCTGTATTGGAAGAGTCGACCAACCAAACTTCAGCTGGCTCTCTGCCTGGTCAGCCCAGGAAGACAGCTCAGCCGCTCAAAATGAGGTCTTCTCAGATCACAGATCTTGGTGTTGAGTTCACACGACTTGACTGCCTGCTCCCTCAGTAAAATATAACTTTTGCTTAATAGTGAGAGCTGTTTGCTGTGATTTTTATCAATAGTATAGACTTCATTTCTGCATTGATTTTCAAAGTCAATGACACTTGTTATGTTTTTTTCTCAGCTATTAGGAAATATAAAGAGGTTTGGTAACATTTGCCACACATGGGTCATGCTGCAATCAGGGTACCTGATAGGGTGATGAGAAAAAAGCTGCTGGATTGCTTCTCATTTATACCAAAGGTCAGAGATACAGCTTCTCTTCCAAAATGAAAGGTCTTCCAAGATTTCACTAATATCTGAGGCTGCACAGAACTATGGATAGTTTAGGCTGGTGGCTTCTTGCACATTTAGCCCCATGTTCATTTTAAGCTTTACTCTGACTTCTTTTGCCTGTCCCTCTGGGTTTCTGACAAGAATAATTATATATTTAGAAATTGGCAGCAGAACAATTTGAGCCAAATTTGAATTTTCAAGAAAAGCTTCCAAAGGGACTATAAAAAAGAAAAGAAAACCTAATCCTGGAAAGTCTTAATTGAGACTGTTTTGTGCAGCTACAGTGGTAATTTTCTGATTTCCTTAGCTGTAGCACACCACCAAGGATAGATTCCTTTTTGATGTAGTCTAAGGCTCTTAACAGTTTCCTGGTTCTGGCATGATACAGAGTGTGGATGGACTTCTTTAGCAAAGGACAGGTTTTTTTTTTTTTTTTTTTTTTTTATGTTTATTCATTTTTGAAAGACCGAGACAGAGCACAAGCAGGGGTGGGGCGGAGAGAGAGGGGGACACAGAATCTGAAGCAGCTTCCAGGCTCTGAGCTGTCAGCACAGAGCCCAACGCGGGGCTCGAACTCACGAACCGTGAGATCATGATCTGAGCCGAAGTCGGACGCTCAACCGACTGAGCCACCCAGGCGCCCCAGCAAAGGACAGTTTTGATGTCATCCCCCAACTCTTATTCTGAATGTGACAAGCCTACTGTGATCAATAATGGCACCTCTCCGTTGTTTCCTGTGTTTCTGTTGTCTCTAACAAGAGGGTACGTGTGTTTCTCTTTCTCCAGACGAACAAGGGAGATGAGCTCTCCAACCGGATCCAGAATACTTTAGGCAATTACGATGAAATGAAAGACTTTTTAACTGATAGATCTAATCAGAGTCATCTCGTTGGCGTTCCCAAACCTGGGGTTCCTCAGGCTCCTGTGAACAAGATCGATGAACATTTTGTTGCAGATTCAAGAGCCCAGACCCAGCCCTCATCTGTCTGTAGCACTGCATCTTCCACACCAGCAGCTGTCCCCGTGCAGCAGAGTAAGAGGGGCACCATGGGCTGGCAGAAGGCTGGGCACCCACCATCAGATGGCCAACAGAGAGCAAGTAAGCACGGACCCAGGTTGCTTGATTTGAACAGATCTGCTAACCCAAAGAACCATAATAAAAAACCTAACCACTCTGTGTCGAGCCCCTCATCCTCATCTTCCTCTTCTTCTTCTTCTTCCAACTCAGCACAAGGCTCTCTCAGGACCTTGCTTGGAGATGGTGTTGGCAGACAGCAGCCACGAGCCAAGCAAGTGTGCAATGTAGAGGTGGGTCTTCAGACCCAGGAAAGGCCACCTGCTATGGCAGCCAAGCACAGCAGCAGCGGACACTGTGTTCAGAACTTTCCTCCATCCCTGGCTTCAAAACCCAGCCTGGTTCAGCAGAAACCAACTGCATATGTGCGGCCGATGGACGGCCAAGATCAGGCTCCTGATGAGTCTCCAAAGCTTAAGTCATCCACAGAAACCAGTGTGCACTGTACGTCATACAGGGGAGTCCCGGCCACCAAGCCAGAGTCCACCAGAGCCAAGGCCAAGCTGTCCAAGTTCAGCATCCCCAAGCAAGGAGAGGTAAGTTTTCTCAATACCACCTACATACATCTGAGCAGTTCTAAGTGACCACTGGACGATTACAAATTAAACTCCCATGCTTCTTTATTTCAGTGTGTGAACAACTCCATATGGTAGGATTTGTAGCAATCACTAAAGGAGGATGTACACATAAATAATGGTTTCCTATCAACTTTCTCAAATTGATTATCACCAAATTATTTTTAAGTTCCAACACATGCAGTTATGTGTCTACATTCATTCAGGAAAGGAATGTCTCCTTCAATATAGTTCAAGGGATTTTTTTTGTATTGTTAATGAGTCAGTGTTGACACAGATACTATATATTAGAAATAAAAGTATTGTAAAGGCTATATATAAAGAGGTTAATTTTTATGTAAAAGAGTTCAGAAGTTTGACGCTTTTGTCAGTTTTGGAATGTTCCAGCACAGACTTCACAAAGTAAACCTCATAATGATTTTTAAAGTAACTATTAAATGACTCAATATTAAGGGGCACCTGGGTGGCTCGGTTGGTGGAGTATCTGACTCTTGATATCAGGTCTTCATCTCAGGGTTGTGACTTCGAGCCCCATGTTGGACATGGAGCCTACTTAAAAAAAAGACTTAATATTAAGTATGGTGCATATTCAAATGTATCAAAGTCTTGTCCATATTATAATATTTAAAATCCAGGTTAATTGATTTGAATCAAGTAAGAACTCTCCTTGTCCTATAAAAATGATCTTAGGTTATATGAAGAGAATGAAATCTTTTAGTTCAGATTGTTCTGGTTTGCATCTTGAATTTATTTATTTGAAATTATTTATTTATTTATCTTGAAAGTATTTATTTATTGCATTATAAAATATGTATATTGGATGTATAGAATATTAGAATTCAAGAAGGCAAATCACATAATCACAGGGGTAGCAAAGAAGCCATGATTACTCACTTGAACAGTAAATCTGGATGGAAAATGAAGTTTTGTTTTAAAGAACCACATTTCAGACTATATTACAAATTGATGACAGTTGTCAAGAGCACATGAAAAAGTATGCCTGCGCATTTTTTTTTGTTTTGTTTTGCTGTGATGTGGTATATTAACAAACATAAAATGTGAATTCTGGAGCATTGGATTTAAGAACTGTCCATTTTTTTTTCTTTTTGACACAGTCATTTTTAAAGATGGAGTTAACACTGCAGGATATTCTGTATATTTTAATTTGATTTAATAACCAAATGAAACACGAATGATTTGATGTTTCTTGTTGGGAGTCTGACAAGGCTGAAGTTAATCATTTCTGAGCTGAGCTATCACTTCAGAAAGCACCATGCACCAGTTGGGAGATCAACATATTACCCTTGAAGGAGAAGATATATATTTTTTTACTCTAAGGTGTTTATACAGGTTCTAAAGAAGAAATTAAGTGACATGTATATTAGTAACTCCTTTTATTATTCATTTATGATGGATCCCATAAAGTATTCTTAGGAATTAATAGAAGCAACACATAATTTCTGCAAGCATTTATGTTTTTAAAAGTTTGTAAGAAACACACATTAATATCACTTTACAAAATGAATTTATCAAGCCCTTTGATTTTTGTTGTCATCAAATGACCTGGCAAATTAAACATGGCTTATCCTTGAACAGAGGTGGCTGCAACCACCAGGAATCCCTTATAATTGTAATCCCAATTGATTCCCTGTTAAAATGATTTTTATGTGCCAAAGAAACTTCAAATTTATTAGGTGGTAATTTATTTATTTACTTTGTAACTCAGTGAGTTGATAAAGCCCTGATTAAAAGCCAGTTTTTGATAGCCAGTATAATCCTATGAAGATAACTATACAGTTTTCATTAGGCTTTGGGTATGTCATTAATAACATGGACACTTTCAGGACGCCCTTCCAAGACCCCAGATTGGGAATGACACATTGTACTACGATTCAGTAATCACAGAAAGAGGGAAATGCCTAGGATAGAAAGTCATACCAGGAGAAATTAGAGCTTTTAAAAAGGAAGTGTTTCATTTCCCCCATGTAATGACATCGAGCCAGTCAGCTTGCTTCCTTCCTAACATTCTATACTGAATACTCTAAAGAGGCCAATCAAGCGTGGTTAGGAAAAGGTAAGAAGTGTCATTCGTAAAACAAAGTTTTAATTGGTGGATTTGGTTTTTTTGTTTTTGGTATGAGAGATGTACAGTCCTTATTTTAGCAAAAAACTTTGCATATTATGGAAAATATGATAATTTGAATTTTGCAACACTTGTGTGTTTAATCGGTCTATTGTAATAAGAAAATGAATCTTTCCCAGTTAGCAGCAGAATAGTATCTATAAGTTACATTTTCCATCTTTCAGACTCAAAGAGTTTTTTTGTTTGTTTGTTTGTTTGTTTGTTTGTTTGTTTTAATAGTACTCCGAGAGACCCTTTTATATATACCCTTTTGCAGGTATATCATTATTTATAGGACATCTCTATAAAATCCATAATCATAGCACAGAAACTGAAGAATTTTATCAGCTAATCAGTTTGTACTTTTATGGGGATATTTACCTTTATTTTCTGGAGAGAATAAAACAAATGTGGCAAACAAGAAATATTAATGCGTATTTTTTTTTTATGCAGACAGTACCTATATAAAAATGTTCTCTTGATAGTACTGACATTAATTTTCAATGAGGTAAGGAATGCATTATCTTAGGGAAATTTACAGAGGCAGTGACCTGAAAGGAACTTTCCTGATTTGACTATACTTTCCCAGGGCATAAGTAGAATAAGACTTATGCCTGTGTGAAGGTTTTGGGGGCTGAAAGGAAGTGTTAGGTAAAAATGACGTAAAGACAAGGGAGATGCAAATATAGCTGTATGGCATTGTGTAGGTACAGTCCTCATAAGAAATCAAATCAATGACTAGGTGTAATGTGATGTGAGAAATTGAAAAAAAAAAAATCTAAGATGTGATCTCTATGTGCAAGAAATTTACATGAATTGAATAAATTAGACTCCAGCACTTAGCTTTTAATTTGCAATTTCTCTCACGTACAGTCCAAACTAAATTTAAAATTGGCCTTCTAGTCCTAGAAAATTTCCTCACCTTCATAATCCTTGTGGTAGAAAACTATTCAATGTTATTTTAAAAAATTGAGAATTTGTGAATCTCTTTTGCCTGATTTTACACTTCATGAAATTTTTCATTCTTTTTCTTACAACATCTGCACTCTATCTGCTGCCATGGCGAATTATTTGTTATAATTCTTTAGTCTTCAATAATAGGTAATTAGTGTGGAAAAATTCAGTGCAATTTGATGTGGAAGTTAAAGACCTCAAGGGAGTTCCTTAACTGATACACCTGTCTCCTGGCTGGTTTTCCCCAGCACAGTTTTGTGTTTAATGAAAAACATATTTTTGTTGTTATAGCTGAATTTTTGATTCTTGATGCCATCCCTCATTAAGTGAGCCTTCCCTGGAGTGCCACTCGGAAGGGTGACTAGCGTTAGGTGAGGGACATAAGAAATGACTGCAGCATGTGTTCTAGAACATTCTTGGGTAGGGCACACTAAATCTTATTTGCAGTTGAAGAAAATTTTTTGTTTCACATACACACACAAAATTGATGTTTTGCCCTTTACATGTAATTCAAGATCCAGACACTGGGGACTGTTAACCTAGGAGTAGATATAGGTTTTGTGGGACCTAAAATAAATACTGTCTTGGGAGTTTTCGTTAGGAAAAAAGGAGTAGAAAAATTATCTTATGCTTGAAATTTTTACAAAAACATGCTTTAACTCATTGCTAGAGCCCCTCCTGGGGCCTTGGAGGAATGTTCACTTAAGAGGCCCTGAAGCTCATGCGTCATTAGCTTCATGCTGTATCTATCCTTCATTATCATGGAATAATATCCATGATATGGATATCCATGATATCATGTTATCATGATTGTCATGATATCATGATATCATGGATATCCATATCCATATGAATATCATGGATATTCATTATCATGGAATAATACAAAATTATTATTAAAATGATAATTTTAGATTTGAAAAGAGTAGTTTATATTGGCCTCAAACTTGGTAGAATTTAAAAATACATATGTATATGCTAGATGATACAGGAAGACAGAAATGGGACAATCCTATAAAAAAGCCTAATATGCAGTGCCACTGAGACAAAGCACGGGAATATGGGCCTCATGGGCTATGAAATCAGTTTGTTCGGCAAGTTACAGCTTCACTGGTATTCCAAAACATACACATTTTAGTTTCTTTTTGTTATTAATTTAATAAGTAGTGGTGACTTAAGACCACTCTCACATAGGGCTCTGATGGCTGAGAATAGAACACATCTGAAAAGCCAGGGAAGGAAGGAGAGAACGCAGGACCTGCTGCTCTTAGTTTAATCAATGATGAGGAAAGAGATACCTCAATTTGAATATCAATTAATAGACTGTGTGTATATTAGGACTTTTCCTAGTGGTTGATAATTCATCCACAAGAACAGAGACACCATTTTTGGCTGGTCAGAATTTTGTTAAAATAAGTAAATAGTTGAAGATGTATTGATTAATCAGCATTTTCACAATGGGCATTTTTAAAATCACCATTTATACCATGAATAAGAACAGAAAGATAAAGCACCGTGATTCCACAAAATAGCTTCCTAGAAAAGCAATTAACTGATTTTTTTTTCTAAGTTCACAGAAGATAAATGATGTAGGCTTCCTATTTCCTGTCACTCTTGGTTACCTTTGTATGAAAATGGATTTCTTCCAAATTAAAGTCGGCACCAGCCTGTCGGACGGAAAAGGCATCTGCAGAGCAATGTGTACATTACATATTCATGCCAGTCTAAATTTCTTAATTACATTTGAGATGTATAATGTTTTCAAATGGAAGCATGCTATCTGATGGCTGGTTCATTGATGAAATGAGGGGATATGTCCAGATTGGAGACTCGGTTTCCCTGACTGTTGTAGTTTCATCCTCCCCATCGTCATCACTTCCATCCT